TATTAGAAAACAACTTCGGTCGAAGTCTCTTAAGGTAACCAAAAGAAATATGCCCTAGTCTTCTATGCCATAACCATATATCTGCTTGAACCTTCTCAATTCCACTTGTATAAAATACACGACCTAATTTATGTTGTCCATTCTCCGTCAACTCCAAGTGGTAGAGTTTGTCCCGTTTAACACCATAACCAAGCGTCTTCCTTGTCAGAATGTCATGAAATACACAGAAAGAAGGCCAAAACGTTACGGTACAATGAAGTGATGAGGTAATTTGGCTAACTGATAAGACATTATAATCCAACACTGGAACAATCAAAACCGTATCAAGCTTCAAAGAGTCAGATAATACAAGAGATCCTTCCCCTATGATATGACAAGTACCTCCATTTGCGGTGGAGATAACAGATTGAGATGAAGAGTGAATAGTTTTTAGATTGTTAATATCTCTAGTCATATGATCGGATGCTCATGTATCAATAATCCAAGTGCTATTCTTAGAAGTGGCAGAAAGTACATCAACCTTACCAGAGATACCTTGTTGGGCCATATTGGCAACGGACTGCATTTTTTCTTCTTGAGTGGCTACTGCGGCTTTAGCAGTAATATTTTTTCTCCGCTTTTTAGAGAAATCCCACCAATCTGGATAGCCGACGATCTCGTAGCATCGTTGCTTCGAGTGACCTGTTTCACCACAGTGGCTGCAAAGGAAATTGCTACCTTTTCCGGAGGATGGATTATTACGCCGTGTGTTTCGTTGAGCTACCATTGCTGAGCTTTCAGAGACAGGCCTGGAACTCCCCATGATTTGTCTTTGTTGTGCTTCTCTCCGGACATATGCATATGTGCTTTCCAAATCCAGCTTTGGATCCTTTCGTAGAATCTCTCCGTGAATTTGATCGAATCCAGAATCAAGTCCGCTCAAAAATATGTGAACTCGTAGTCGGGCCATCATAGAATGCATATGTACAATTGCTTGAACAGATGCCTCCTGTGCGGTCGTTCGGTGGTCAATTTCTTGAAATATTTCAACTAATTCATTGTAGTACGTAGACAAGGGTCGACCATCCTGTGTAGTGGTGAAAGATTTTCGATTTAGTTCAAATAATCGAGTTTCATCTGATCCATCATAGAAGGTTTTTGCAACAGCCTCCCATATCTCTTTGGCAGTGGAAAGTCGAATAAATCGCTGCATCAGAGGAGGACTCATTGAATCAATGAGCCAACTTTTAACTTTGTGATTATCGGTAATCCAAGTTGCATAGCCATGATCCGTAACTGCTGGTCTCATCGTTTCGCCGGTGAGAAATCCAATTTTGTTTCGAGCTCCGATTCGCATCTCCATTAATTGTGACCATAATGAGAAATTCGATTCATCAAGAACAATACTAGTGGAGAAACTTGAATTGTCTAGTTGGACTATAATTGGCTGTGGAGGGTTTGTGGTGGTGATGGTGGTTGGGACAATTTGATTTTCTAAACTCATGATTCTAGAGTTCTGGCTTTGATTCGGAAAAGAAAAAAAATAAGAATTCAATAGGATGATTGATTATCAACCTGCTCTGCTCTGGTACCATGTAGAAACTCAATATTCGAGGAATTCATATTTCTTCTCTTCATGAGGTAAATATATATACATGTATTTGCTATAAGAATCGTATATCTTATTCTAGGTAGTTTACATATTTATAGTAACTAAATATTCTCAATAACTGTAAATTCCTATCATTGTGATCCGCTACAATCTTCAAGATCGATGAAATCTTTCTTGCCAACAAAGAACAGTCCCAACACTCATGGAACCAAATTCAATTTCCCACGATCTCTGCCCGTCGCCAACCGATGTTCCCATGGTCGGTCGAAAACGTCAGTGTGGCATCGGCCCGTACTAGGTTCTCCCGACATTTTCCTCTAACAAGCCAAGTCCAATTTGCGACCCATTTATCAATACTATATTTGAGGCCCAGATTTTGGCATAACAATATAGCCCAGGGCCCATATATGAACTTGCACAATAAATTTGTTTAGATAATTAAAAACAAGTTAATTATATTTAGTATTTACACAGGATAATACTTGGAATTATTATAAAATATACATATATATACTTCAAAGAAAAAAGGACCATATTAAAAAATGACAAAGATTGAAATCAATTCAGCAAACAAATGTAGACATTATCATAATTAGCAACGAATATTTATATTTTTTGCTACTTGAAAATAAAAATTATATTAATTTTTAGGAGAATTATAGGATAGGAGAGGCAGGAGCACATAATTCAAATTAATATTTAAATTAAAAAAAAAAAAAAAAAAAAAACTACACGAACTTCAAGAGGCTATGCTAAAATTACCGAGGGGGTATTTATTCCATCCTCACAGCACAGCGCCTCTTCTTATTAGTGTCTTTAATTCAGTCTTCAGTCTTCACCTACCAACCCCATCGCAGCCGTTGATCTCGCCGGGAAATGTCATTCACCACTTTAAAGCCAGTCACCTGCCGGATCCCTCCGGTGAACGGATCAAATGGTCCGTACACTCAACTTTCGAGAGTCACAATGATGAATAGACAAGCTCTTCCTCCTCTACAGGTTCACCTAATTACCTGTACTTTTTACTCTTTTTTGTTTCTCTTCTACTTTCTGATTACAAAGTGTTTGTGTATTTGTCCCAATGAGCTGAATATTGTACAGTTGATTTTGGCCTGTCGGTGTGTCTTGTTAATTTTTTTCCAGATTTTTTATATGACTGTATATAATGATTTCACTGGTTTTTGAATAAAGAGTTGCTTGTCATTAATTCTACTTTTTTATGGAAACCTAATTTTCAAGAGATTGAAGAGTTTGGATATGGTTATGAGCAAAAGATTGTATGTATCATGTATGTATATGAATTTTCAAACAAATTGGATGTTATATATTATCTTTGGCCTTGCAGCTGTTTTTAGAATTATGCTCATATGAATTGGATTTTAGATCCTATTATCTTTGGACAGAAATGGAAATTTGAAATGCTGATCTCAGTTTAGATATTGTTTCTCCGATCTTCGATTGGTCAACGACTCGATAACATCCCTGATTTAGTGCTCGTTATTTCGTTTTACCCGGAAAAGAAAAAAAAAGGTTTAAAGAATCCGGATTCTCCTGGTTAACCATTCTTCGTCAATGCTTCGAATGCAGAGTTTCTCTTGATTAAACTAAAGAAGGATATATATATATATATATATTCTGTTGAAATGGAAGGTTTAATAATTTACGAGCATGCGTACTATTTTATACTACATTGACACGAGGATTTTTCTCAAAAAAAAAAAAAAAAAAAAAAAGAAAAAAAAAACGAGGATTAGTACCAAATACGTTGAATGTTAAGTGAATATAGGTTAGATTGGACGGCTCCCAATCATGAATATTTCGTACTAAACGGTCTAATACTATGAAGCCAGCAATCCGTTTGATTCGATTGTATCAAAAAATTTGGATGTTATTACATGTTTCCATGTGGATGTCAATCCACATTCATTATACACTGCTCTGTCTTAATATTTATTTACAGCAAAAAAGGGAGAAAAATGATGAATGCTTTTTTGTTCTGCGAATTGTACTTAGTTCGATTGGTCTTTGTTCCTGCACAAATCAATGGCTTAAACGATGGTTGATATGCGTATAGACATGGACTCGTTGAAGTGTTTATGAAGGAGTTTGAATTTGATTTGTAAAACAATTTTTGATCATACATTAATTGGTTGTAGGTGAAAGCAGAAAAGGAGAAACAAGAGTTGCAGGAAAAACGCTCGACCGCCACCAAATCAAGGCGTGAAATAATGCATTTAACGACCGTTTCTCTAGGTCTTGCCGCTCTTCTGCCGCCACCACCAGCTGAAGCACGTGCTAGAAATGCCACAATGAGGCAGAAGATTATGCAGAAATTTGAGGAACTCCGGCAAAAAGCCGGGTTGTCGAAAAGCACTAAAGAAGAAGCTGAACAAGAATATGACGAAGAAGAAAAGAAACCGAAAGCCGAAATCAAAGACAAATCGAACGTGAAAGAAACCACACTACCCCCGAAAGAAGAGTTGTCTGTTCCAACACTTCCAGGTATCATGAACGGTACAATTGTCGAAACCACTCTCCCATGATTTCAGCTTTCGAGAAACTTATGTTGTAATAGCATTTGATGTATTCTAATATTTGCATTTATGTTCGTTTTTGCGAGAACTGAATTCAAGAATGAATGACGAAAAATGTGGTTGAGAAAATTGCACGACGAAATTCACTAATTGATAGATGAAAAATAAACAAAAAATCTAAAAAAAAAAAAACGAAAAACGAAAATCAAGAAGTTTTCTTGTTCATATTGTGGGCAAGTTTGCGCATTTGGAATCTCCAGAACATGAAATAAGCCATGCCCAAACCAATCAACACAAACACCCACACTTTCTCTTCTTTGTTCTCATGCTCCGATTCCACTTCGACAATGCCGAATCCATCTCTTTCTCCATTCCCCGAAACGCCCTCGTTCACGTGCCCGTATAACACATATACCCTGTTCTCTGCTCCGACGGCCACTGCGCTGGCCTGCCTCTCCTCGTCGAGGGTAGTTTCGTCAAACACAGTTCCCCCGCCCCAGCTGTCGTCGCTTTTGATGAAATACAGCTTCTGCTGCGACACCACCGTTACGACGCCGTCGCGCCTGAGGGCGATTCCGTCGGCCGCTGTTAGTTCCTTGTTCAGAAGTACCTGCCTCGCGCCTCCGTCGTCGGCGTCGACTTTGAAGAGCTTCCCCGTGTTCGACTGAGTTACCAGTAGGTAGCCTTTGGAGTTGTAAACGACGCCGTTTAGTCCGCAGTTGTGGTAGTGTGCGGTGGTGTCGACTGCTTGGGGTTTGAAGGACTGAGATCTGGATAGGATCGCGGCCTCGCCTTGCTCGTTGACTTTGTAGATGACGTCATTGGCCGAGTCGGTGACGTAGGCGTTGCCTTTGTAATCGGCCGCCACGTCGTTGGCGAGGGTTGGGGAGGGGAGGAGGTCGTCGAGCGGGGTGAGGAAGAGGCGGCGGAGGGTGGCGCGGTCGTAGGAGGCGAGGGCGGAGAAGGGAGGGGAGGAGCGGTGGACGACGGCGAGGATGCGGTGGTGACGGGGATCGAGCGAGATGCCGAGGAAGGAGGAGTTGGCGGGGAGCGAATCGTCGGAGAGGAGGGAGGCGGCGACGCCGGCGTCGGAGACGGAGATGAGCTGGCGGTGGCGGAGGGAGCCGACTACGAAGTGGTCGGATTTCGGGTCCCAGGCGAAGGACTCCGGGTAGAGATTCGGCCACCGGAAGTTGATGACGTGGGAGCTCCGGCCGTGTACGGCACCGGCGAGGAAAACTAACAGGAGAGTTAGTAGGATCTGTTTGAACATATCTGTATATGAATCTCAGAAATCGAGGACTGGATTTCGATTTCGATTTCGATTTATATGTGAAGTTGTTGAAGACGATGAATTTGTGCTGGGCAAGCAGATTGATATCGATTGGGTATTTTTTCTTCTTTTTCTTTTTGGCAAATTACGGTTACACCCTTTAGGTAAGATCAATTTGATAAAAAACCTATGTTGTTTGTGTAATTACAACCATCCGCCTCAACTATTTATTGTCTTACGAAAATACCCCTCATTTAGTAGGTAAATTTGACAATGTAAGGGTCGACGTGTAAAACAATACATAGTTGAGGGGTGGTTCTAATAAATAAATAGGAAAGTTTTTTAGTAATTAGACCTTAGTTCCGGGGTGGTCGTTATCCTCTCAAAAATTTTAAAAAGTGAAAGTCCCATTTTCGAGTATTTTTCGTATTTTACTCAAAAAAAAAAAAGTATTTTTCGTATTGCAGATTGCCTCGATATCAAAACTTCGATAGATTAATCATCGAAATTGAGTATTTTTATTGCACGTTGCTCGTCTAAATGTTATTTTTGATGCACATTGCCCTTTAAAAACACTACTGTTTTGACGTTGCCCCTTTAAAATGTTACTTTTGCACAATACCCTCCAAAGATTAGCTTCTGGCAGTGCAATCAAAATAATATTTCGAAGGACCCTTTTTTGATATTGTAATGGGGAAAGTGCAAAAAATAGAAATTTATATAGTTTGAAAGTGAAATTTTTTATTTTATTTTATTGGTCAAAATATTGACATTAATTTTAGGGAATCAAGACTCCACAAAGGGTAGGATTACAAATTTTGATTCGACACGTGTCTAACTAATGGGTCACAAAAAAAAAACAAAAAAAAAAAAAAAAACCACCCCAAACCTAATTAATAACGGGTTAAATTAAATTGGGTTAATTTGAAAATATCTGAGTCGAAGCTAGCTAGAACATTCCAGATGGCCAAAAATCTCTTCTTCCCCAGATATTTTTGAGCTTCTGCAACTGTTCTTCATCAATGGGACCCACATACAACCGCCTCACCCCAATTCGTAATTATCCGTTTTCAACACACTCTATAAATAAATTTCTTCCCCCATTTACCGAATAATTTTGCGTCGTAATGCGAAAACTTAAAACTGAAAACAGAATAAAAAATGGAAATGGAGTTCTTTAGTGGACAGCCTTTTTATTACAGTGTTCTTGGTGTTGATAGAGACGCTTCCGACGAACAAATTCGACGCGCTTATCGTAAACTTGCCATGGTATGTTTTGATTGCAATATTATGTTGAATTTTAAATGGGCTATTTTTTTTTAATTAGTTTTTGATAATGTTAGTTAATTAATTGAGGGTTCTTGATTTTGGTTCAGCAATGGCATCCAGATAAGTGGTGTAGAAGAAACCCTAGTTTTATTGGGGAGGCCAAACATAAATTTCAGCAAATTCAAGAAGCATATTCAGGTATGTATGTATGTGTTACATTATTACAGTTTCTTTTTGTCTTTTTTTTTATTTCAATTGTTTGGAATTAATGTTGGTTAAATATTTGGATGAAATGATACAGTGCTGTCTGATAGTAGGAAGAAGATGATGTATGATGCAGGGTTGTATGACCACGATGATGACGTGGATGATGTCGAGGTGTGTGTGTGTGTGTGTGTGTGTGTTGAGTGTTGCTACGATTTGTGTTGTTGCTATGTGTAGTTTCGATTTTATTTTTAACGATTGTCCGAAATTTCGTAATAGGGATTTGGTGATTTTCTTGAAGAAATGGTGTCTCTTATGAATGATGCAAAGAAAGAGGTAAGTTTTATAGTTTGTTTGTTTATCTGTCGATGCTCGTTTCTAATGCGTATTGGACTGTCGTTTATGGACTGTGTTTGATCCTTTGTAATGTGTTGTGTTTGATGTACATTTTTCGTGATGATGTGGGATTTTTCTTGACTTGCTTTGCATTTAATTGAGTAAAAAAACACGAGTATAATGACTGATTTTGTGGTTTAATTGGCATGAATTAAATGTAACAACTGCAATATATCGACATGAACAGTATTTGATTTTCTCCTAATGTGTTTTGTTTGATGGACATTTCTCGTGATTACGTGTATTTGGTTGTGGAAGTTCTTGACGTATTTGCATTCAATTGAGTTAAAAAAACGAGTACCATTGATTGATTTTGTGGTTGTATTGGCATGAATTAAATGTAACAACTAACGAAATTCGATTACCGAACATGGACTTAATTCTTTGTAAATGGATGAAAAAAAAAACAGGAAAGGAACTACAGCAGTGAGGAAATACAGGGTATGTTTTGGGAAATGGCGCGCGATTTTGAGATTCCTGAGAGGAATATTCCTCCGCAGCAGCAGGGACCAGAGTGGTTTTGTAACCCTTTTACACTTTACGAGTCGGCTTCAACCATTCATGGGGGAGGGGAAGCGAGGTTCAGGTGAACCCTCACTTAAACAAAAATCGACCTGTGAAAAACATACGGTGCACGCACCCTCATTTTTGCAGAATCAATGAGTGAATGATTCTCTTGATGGAGACTGTGATGAAACGATGTCGATCTGATATTGCTTGGGAAATTGGTTTTGATGTATATATGCAAAATTGCAGATTGATCTTTCCGCATAAATGGACAGTTTTTTCCGAGTTAAATGTAATCCTCCCGGTACTTGTGGATTGTCAGTTTTTTTTCTAGGTTGATTTGTGTTTGTTAGGCGTAGATTTTGAAATCGAAGCGGGGTTGTGCCTGCTCTAGGGTTGCTATGTACATTCTTGAATATTGAGGTATCCTATAAGTGTTGTTTCGGTTTTGACACTACCGTTTCGAGTTCAAACGTGATTTTGATTCTTTTCGAGGGTGGATTTGGCAAGACTCAAATCACGGATACCTGGACTGACACTTGAGTTAGCACTCCAATGGACCGACACCTGAGTTAGCACTCCAACGGACAAGTCAGCAGGTGTCGAATAGTGTTTTTCACTTTTTTGGGCTATTAGCCTAATGTGTTCGTCGCTCTGGGCTCTAATAGCCTTAGGCCTCGTTTGGTTGTCAAGATAAGATTAAATAATCTAATGAAACTCGGTTATATTACTGGATTTTCGATAATTCAATAAAAATTATGTCTAGATGGCAAAATAAGTCATGATAACATAATATTTGTGGGTCAACCCGATAAGTTATTGGAGATACCAAACGAGGTATTATTGGGCTATTATAATATGGGCCCTTCAACAAATTTGAATGAATAAATATTTTAGATTTTGAAATTTATAAAACAATTATTTGTGGGAAGGTCCGAACGGGCACATAAATAAAACTAACGGTTTCTGATGTGGACTGGTTTTCTAATGCTAATATTTTTCCAAGTCTTTGTCTTTACGTTATGAAGAAACAAAGGGTCAATTTGAATTGTCAATAATTGATGTTTGATTGTTTTCCAATACTTGCATGTATATATATATATATATATATATATATATTTCTAATTGATGTGACGGTGCTATTGTATATTTCATGAAATTAAGCATGCTACTCAACTTTGTTTAACAAAAAAAAAAAAAAGGTTGATGAAAAATGCATCTATTTGCATTGAATTTATTAAAAAACAAAGATGCGCGTAAGTAGGTTTTCGAGTGAGTATTTTAATTTCAGTCAACTACAAAGATGACCTCTAAACGATCACCACATACCTAATTACTTCTTCGCCTTCGGCACGAGAATCTTCCGAACAATATATATTGGCTTTACAATGCATCATTTTAAATGATTCCCTTGAATTTCTATTAAAAAAAAAATGATTCCCTTGAAACTTTATATTAATTTCGAATAAATACTTTCTCCATAGTGATGCATGATGCAACCTTTGATTAAGGCCTAGGGAAATGTCATCCACATGCCAAACATGACTTCCCCACCTTTGCTTACATCAAATCCCCCAATTCTTTCATCAAATTCAATTTTTTTTTTTTTTTTTTTTTTTTTTTTTTTTTTTTTATAAAATAACTTATATATTAAATTCAAATATTACTCGAAACTACTCTTCCACTGCCTAATTATTTTCATACATATCTAGTAAACACATGTATTTTTTTAATTTTTTATTTATTTATGAAAAAGGGTACAATTATTGGAACCTCATACATGCATGCAATTGCACACACAAAACCACTTAATTAAAAGAAAGTACAAAATCAATAAATTAAGGCCTAATTCATGGCCCCTTTAAAGTGGACTTTGCCTTATAGATTAAGCCAACATGAAAATTATAATTGAAGGTTCTTTTCTTTTCTTTTCACAATTTAAATTCAATCCCCCATTGCCGGTATTTTTTAAATTCAACAAATGATGTGCCCATTACATTTTACACTTTTAAAATAGTTTACGGACTATAGTATAAAAGATCGTTTATCCAGTGCACATACAATAGAATCTCAATAAATTATACATCAATAAATTAATTACCTCCCTTAAATAATAATTTATCTTGGTCCTGAATCAATAACTATTTGTTATAACTTATTAATTCGATAATTTAATATTCATCTAAATTAATAAAATTTTACTAGTCGTCACATCTGTATTAAAATATATAAAGGTTTAATTTCATATCAAACCTACACTTGTAAATTGCCTACAAAAAGGCTAATTTTTCCTCCAAACTTTTCCTTGGCCTTTTCCACTTTCATGCACCTAACAAAACGTAATAAAATAAACCTCTTTCTTCCTTCTTTCTTCTTCTTCACCATTCTTCACTTTCAAGAAACACAATAAATCAAAATCTTGAAACACAGATCAAAATTATCTCACCATGGCCACTCTCAAATTGTTCTATTTCACTATATTTATAATCGCCACTCTTTCAATGGTAAGTTCAAGAAATCTCGACGAACTTACACCCGACCCTGATTTGCAGAACAAGTGCGGCAGCTGCCCCTGCAACAACCCTTGTGCTAACCCACCGCCATCTCCGCCGCCGCCGTCGCTACCACCTCCGCCGCCTCCCCCAGCTCCAAAGAAGCCGCCGCCAAGTGGTATTAACTGCCCGCCTCCCCCTTACGGCGGCGGCGGTGGTGGTCAGTACCCGCCGAACCCACCTTACATATACATAAACGGGCCGCCTGGAAATCTGTACCCGGTTGACCCGTTCTATTCGGGTTCGGGCCGGAGCTTCGATTCCGCGGGTTTGATGTTGATCGGCGGTGCTCTTCTTCTCAGATGGTTCATACCTTTCTGGTAAAAAATAAAAGAATAATAATAAAAAAATATATTATGTGAAAATTAAGAATCCCACGAATTGGGGTTACGAGAAATCAATTTATCATTCATGTAATTACAATTTAGTTTGTTAATTGACATTAATGAAGAATAATAGTTTTTCATTTTGTAATTTACTTTTGTTAATTTAGTTTTTCTTTTTTCATTCATTCAATTAATTTTGTTTTGTTAAATAATTAATGCAGTATTAGAATTTTAATAGAACACGTAATTTTAAAGAATCCAAAGAAAAATTAAGAGAGTATATAAGCAATCAAAGTGGACTATGAAATTTAATTTGTTTATATATATAAAAACACTTATTTAGCAAACCCTTTGCTTAATGAAAGTTACATACTATCCACTTACACCTAATTGTGCTTAATCCCATTTGTTTCCAATTAACTAACAAATGTGGGGTCCACCATCACCACTAATTGGATTGAGGTGTGAGGTGTCCCTTAGCATGCATTAGCTTCTTTACTTCTTTAATAATCTCTTCAATTATTATTGCTATTATTTTTCAAATAACTATCTTCTATGTGCAAGAAAATATATTGTCCGAATGTATATTAGATTTCTATTGGTAATAAAGGAAACCGCAGCCAACCACGTAGACGTGTATTGAGTAAACTATCATTCTCGTACAATAGTTTGCAAATCATACGAGAGATGTAAATTATATTAGACTAAGTTGCTAACCACGTGTGACAAACTCGACATAGCGACCGTTGTGCAAAAAATTCGAAACTGGATCAACTGAAACAACTTCAGTCGTTAGGTCGTGTATTAGATTTTTTGAGTTGTGGGTAGAAATGGATATAGAGTTGTTCTAAAGGTATTTAAATGAGTGTGTAATGGAAGGAATAAATCAAAGCTAATCTACCTTTTCACAGCTCATCTTATTGAATTATTGTGGAATAATATGTGACAGCTCCTAGTATTATTCATACTCAACTCGGAAATTTGTTGGATAATTTAATTTAATTTATTGCAATTTAACTTCTATCTAAAATCATCAATTCATTTAACTTCATACTAGAAATACACATTTCCAATTTTTTGCTTTCCCAATTCCCTATATGAGATCGAGATGTAAAAAGAAATGAGTGACAATAAGAAGCTTCTAAACCAATTTAACCCCTCTTTTTTTTTTTTTTTTTTTTTTTTATATATATAGTTTTTGTACTGGGCGAATTACGGCCAACCCCTGAGATAAGATAAATTACGAAAAGCCCACTCATGTTTGGATAATTACAGCTACTCTTAATTATGTATTGTCTTACGAAAACTCATCATTTAATAAGTAGATTTGAAATCATAAGAATGCACGTGTAAGACAATACATAGTTGGAGTCCTTCTATTTACCCACATAGAAATTATTTTTCGTAATTTTTTCTTAACTTAGAGACCGATCGTAATTTAATCTTTTTTTTTTCTTTTTTTTTTATAACCAATTTCCCATTAAAAAAGTGTGATATCTTGAAAACGGCAACTGGGCAGAGTCGTAACGTAAATATTCTCGACGAAATCAATTTTGGTTTCACCAAATAAATGGGTCCCACAATTCATATAATTGAGGTGTCAAAGCCTATATATGAAAGAATATGGTTTCATTGGATTTTTCCTTTAACTACTTGTTTATTTTAATTATTCCTAATCATAGCTACCTACTATCATGTGTATATATAGACTATTGTATTGTTAAATTATAGGGTAACTTACGGCAACACTTGATGTAAGGTCAAATTATGAAGAAAAAAAATATCATGTTTGGATAATTATAAATACCTATTAATTATAAATTTTCTTACACGTTTATCATTATAGTGTTAAATTCAACATAATCTCATAGATTATGTGAAATGTTCTCTAGTTTGTACTAATTTTGTGTAAAATGCAGTTTATGTTGCACCACAATATGATATTTACAAACGAATAGACACATCTTACGATCTTTTTGTTTCAAAATATGGAGCTCGAATGAGGTAAACCGATATTCCACATAATTAAGAAAATTCCCCTGAATTTACACCGCTGGACGTGTAAGAAGATTCATAGCAGAGGAGGGAAGTCGTAATTACCCAAACATGAGGGAGTTGTACGTAATTTAACCTTACTTTCAGGAGGTGGCCGTAATTTACCCTAAATTATTTGTTGGGAATGGAAATTTGGCTGGCTGGTTGGTTGGTGGCTTGAGCTTATTTACTAACTTTTTCATTGTGGTCAAATCATTAGCTAGCAATATGCGTTGGAATCAATTTCAACATGCATGAATCACAATACTGATAATAAATTTGAATAATAAAACAATAAAATACTATATTTGGTCGACTGTAACTAATAAAATTCACTGTTTTGAATTTGTAAAATATAATTCTACTCCTTTTTATATGTAAAATAAAATAATTAATTTTCCAATATTAATAATTATTATTAATATACTTAGGCATTGGAAAATTGACCCTCCGAAACAAAATTCTCCCAAATAAAAAGACAAAACAATAATGCAAATTGCA